AGGAAGGAAGGAAGGAAGGAAGGAAGGAAGGAAGGAAGGAAGGAAGGGAGGAAAGAAAAGAAAAGAGAACAAAAAGAAAGAAAGAGAAAACACAGAATTAGAAAATATAAAATGTAGTGAGTTTCTGGAGAATTTCATCACAAACAAACATGGAATTCCAATCTTTATTACCAAATGAAATTCTTCCTGGGTCACCCAAGAAGTTGGACATTTGATGTCAAATAGACATGGCCTAAGTCTCAACTGCTTTATCTGTGAATCCCATGAGTAACAAATAATAATAAGGGTAATGAATCTCTTCTACTTCACAAAGATGTTTTGCAGATAAACTAATTAATGATGATAAAGTGTTACGTCTTATTAAGTTTATTATGATCATTAAGTTCTCATGATGAAAAGATACGTTTTGAAATGCGATGTTCAGTAGGTGGCGTTCTTCCCTCTGGATCTATAACGAATTTCAGCTGTGTTCTAGAGACCATCTCTGGCACCTTGTTGCTTCTGACTGTAGAGACTATAGTATTTACTACCGTTTTCCTCCAGATTCATGAAAGAAGGTCATAGCTATATTTGATTATGACTTGAATATCATTTGCATAAGCTTTGACATTGGCTCTATAAGTATATAGTATGCCATCAAATCTGTATTTCCAAATATATTTCTATACATTATATTAATTCTGTATTGTTTTATATATAAATACAATAAATATATAAAATACATTTATATTTATCATATAAAATATATTTAGGTAAATATAAACATACAACAAAATATAATAGTAGCCAGCATTTACTTAAGTACTATTTAATTGCCTTATACTATTTGATTAAATCCATTCAACAGTCCTTTTTTCTTTAACACTGATGGAAAATTAGTTTACTTTTTTTGGTCGTTTTATATGAGCAGGAGCATTGAGTTCAACTTTCTTTTTACCTACTTCGTATTAGTAGATACTCAAAATGATGCCACCAGACTCCCTAAATACTTTGGTCATGTGATGTTTCACTTCATCAGAACCACCTGAATAAATCTGCAGAAGCAATTTGTTTAAAGATCCATCTGTCTCCAAGTTTCATTTATCTTCATTGAATTCACCAACCAATCTATCCCAAGTTTTGGTTTAACAAGATGAATGGATATGGGGTCTTTGCATCTGCAATGAACTCTTTAGCTTAAGCATATCTCATGTGGTTTGGAAGTTTGGTCCCTTCCAAATCTCATGTTGAAATGTGGCCTCCAGTGTTGGAAGTGGGCCTAATGAGGTGTTTGGAACATGAGGAACAGCTTGGTGCTCTTCTTATGGTAGGAGTTCCCAGGAGATCTGGTTGTTTAAAAGGACCTGGCACCTCCTCGTCTCTCTCTTGCTCTGCCTCCCCCACGTGCTCCACCACACCCCTTTGTCTTCCGTCATGTTCATAAGCGTCCTGAGGCCTCACCAGAAGCCAAGCAGATGCTGGCACCATGCTTGTACAGCCTGCAGAACCACGAGCCAAAAGAGTCTCTTTTCTCTGTAACTCACCCAGCCTCAGGTACTTCTTTATGGCAATGCAAAATGGACTAATGCAACATCTCTAGTGGATTTTTTTTTTTTTTTTTTTTTGAGGCAGAGTCTTGTTCTGTCGCCAGGCTGGAGTGCAGTGGCACAATCTCGGCTCACCGCAGCCTCCGCCTCCTGGGTTCAAGCGATTCTTCCGCCTCAGCCTCCCCAGCAGCTGGGACCACAGGCGCGTGCCACCATGCCCGGCTAATTTTTGTATTTTTAGTAGAGACGGAGTTTCATCATGGCGAGAATGGTCTTGATCTCTTGACCTCGTGATCCGCCCGCCTCGGCCGCCCAAAGTGCTGAGATTACAGGCATGAGCCACCGCGCCCAGCATTTTTTTTTTTTTTTAGTTTCACTTTGCAGATGAGTAACTGAGGAGCAAAGATATTAAGCAACTTGCCCATGGTCACATAGTAGACTGAACCCAGATTTGATCATCTGAATCTAAACCCGGCCCGGAACTGCTAAACCTCACTCCCTCCTGTACCGCCTACACAAAATCTAATAGCCATGAGAAAATACAAAACACAATTTATGTTGAACACAGAATATAAAATTTGTATTTCTTTCATGACAACGATCATGGAAAATTGTGATTGAATATAGCCAAAAATTTGGAACTATTTCCCTTAAAAAAAAGTTCTAGTTAGATTGTTTGGATAACAAATAAGCTTTTTGTTTATATAGACAACTTTATGTTCTCCTACCGCTAAACTTATAAATGATGTTTTTGTTTTCCTTGCCTATTAATTTAAGGAGTGTCTGTATAAGGAACAGCCTGGGAGGTAGGAGCAGCCAGAAATGAATTATTGGCTTCAGAACTTGTGAACGAAGTTTCCTGGAGATCACGACAATGCCAAGCCTCTGTACTTTTCCTCCCCAAGTGGGGAGTTTGGCCCCAGGACATCGTTTAGGTGATGGAACTTATTGGCAAGTGAACACAGAGAAATGAGTGCAGACAATTTCAGAATGCCGGCGGCCACTGTATTATCACCTTGAGGATTTTAATCCTTGACATAGCTAATAATTCTACCAGCATCATTTTGACCATCAATCCGGATATCTACTACTGAATTACTGTGTGACCTTCTCCAATAAGACTAGAACAGAAATGTTGATTCAGGCTTTTTCCCCCAGTATAGAATATGATCAATAACAAAAAAAAAAAAAAAATCCCAAATATATGGGCTCTGACTTGTGATAAGAATATAGGAATCACTGTAAATTGTTTTTAAACAATAATATTTAGCTATAACTGCAGACTTGTTTACGTTCATGAAGTGGTAGGTTTCATGAAAGATGTACCAGGAAAATAAATAATAATAATGGTTCTTGTCCTCATATAAAACTCACTGGGGCCTGATTAAGGGTGGAAGGTAGAAGGAGGGTAAAGATTTAAAAAAACTACCGATTAAGTACTATGCTCTTCACCTGTGTGAGAAAATAATCCGTGCATCAAATCCCGGCAATGTGCAATTTACCCATGTAACAAACTTACACATGTATCCCCCTAACCAAAAATGAAAGTTGGAAAGAAGGAAAAAAAAAATGAATTGCAGACTCCAAGAAACTGGAAGAGTACTCCCAATTTTAAAGAAAACCAGGAAAGTCTGTGGTTTCTGCTTTTTTTCTTGCTCTTTCAATGATGACTGATAGAATTTTTGCTGTCCATAACCGAAGAGCCTAGATCAGACTGCAGTAAGGTGGGATTCTGCGGCTCAGACGTGAATCTCATCTGTTTTTTCCCTTTCTCTACCGTGCCCTCTGCAGGGCTGGCTCATCCCACAGCACCCTACATGTCCCCAGTACGACCAACCCTCCTTCCACGCTACAAGTTTTATTACTTATGGCAACAGCAAGGGGGCTCAGTTTTATCTTTAAAATAAAAATAAACTAGGCATGGTGAAGCACACCTGTGGTCCCAGCTAGCAGGAGGCTGAGGCGGAAGAATCACTTGAGCCCAGGAGTTTGAGGCTGCAGTCAGCTGTGATCACACCACTGCTCTCCAGCCTGTGAGACAGCGTGGGAATTAATAAGTTGGAGTTAACTAATTAATTAAAAATAAATAGGACTCAATCAAAAAATGTAAAAGATGGAGAAAAGAAAACACAAAACTAAAATGCATTTTAAAATGCAAATTATATAGGTAGGCAGAATATGTTGCTTTTCGTACAATAGGCCAGAATTCTCTAAGAGTCATAATTGTGGATGACAGGGCTACAATGAGTCACCAAGGAAAAAATCAGAGATACTAGGAGTAGTTTCAGGCTTTTGCAGGGGGCATGGTGGTGGATTTTGCAGTGTCTCTTAAGGAACATCCTTTTGGCTCCTGTCATGCAGCATGACATTTCTTTTTTTTTTTTTTTTTTCAATGTTTTAAATTTTCATTTTAGGTTTGGGAATACCCGTGCAGGTTTGTTACAAAGGTAAACTGTGTCATGGGGGTTTGTTGTACAGATTATTTCATCACGCAGGTATTTAGCCTAATACCAATCAGTTATTTTTCCTGATCCTCTTCCTCCTCCCAACCTCCACCTTCTGATAGGCCCCAGTGTGTGTTGTTCCCCTCTATGTGCCTTTGTGTTCTCGTTTAGCTCCCATTGTTTTTTCTATTTTCTATTTTCTTTTTTTTTTTTTGAGACAGAGTCCCTCTCTGTCACCAGGCTGGAGTGCAGTGGCGTGATCTCAGCTCACCGCAACCTCCGCCTCCTGGGTTCAAGCAACTCTCCTGCCTCAGCCTCCTGAGTAGCTGGGACTACAGGCGCATGCCACCATGCCCAGCTAGTTTTTGTATTTTTAGTAGGGATGGGGTTTCAGGGGTTTCACCATGTTGGCCAGGATGGTCTTGATCTCTTGACCTCATGATCTACCTGCCTCAACTTCCCAAAGTGCTGGGATTACAGGCATGAGCCACCGTGCCTGACCACTTAGCTCCCACTTGTAGTGAGAACAGCAGCATGGCTTTTCTTATCTAGAATTGGTGAGATGGCCACTAGATATAATCTTTCTGCTAAGGAAAAATAAACATGGCTGGACTTTGAAATAGTGGGTTTCACATTGAGTTCTAAAGTGCATAGTTACTGAATTGTGACAATTAACTCTCAGCAGGCGACATGGGTCAGATAAATCACACTGTGATATACTCTTTAACGTTTTTTTGGAATGAGACGTATTTTGCACAAACTTATTTCAAGTTCGCCAAAGGCCATCTTCAAACTTGAGCTTCACAAAACACCCTGAAGAAATTCTAAAGGGACAGTCAACAGAAAAATAACTCCAAAAAGGTGCTTTTTTTTTTTTTTGGCCTCGAGATGATAAAATCTTGTAACAGAAGCCTGAATGGTTTCACTTATATCCCAGTCCCATACACAAATCACTTTATCTATAAATCACTTATGTAAAACATGTATCCTTGGAATGATTTGAAAGAAACATCGTGAAATCTGTCTCCACTATCTCACCTGGAGAGTGGAGCTGATAACACCAGCTCTAACTCACTTGGATGAGGAAAATGGATTTGAAAGTTAGAGCTCAGAAGAAAAAGCTGTTCGAACACTCTTGATTCAACTATTTCTTTTTTAAAAAGCATTTTTAAAAAATTTATTTAGAGACAGGGTCTAGCTCTGTTACCCAGGCTGGAGAGCAGTGGAGTGATCAAAGCTCACTGCTCCCTTAACTCTTGGGGTCAAGCGAGCCTCCCGCCTTAGCCTCCCCCGTGGCTGGGACTAGAGGCGTGCACCACCACACCTGGATAGCTTTTTCCACTTTTTGTAGAGACAGGGTCTCTCTGTGTTGCCCAAGCTGGTCTGGAACTCCTGACCTGAAGCCATTCTCCCACCTTGACCTCCCAAAGTGCTGGGATTACAGGTGTGAACCACTGTACCAGTCCACTTTATTTATTTATTTTTATTTGGGGAAGGTATCATCGTCAAGCTAGGATACAGTTTCTGGAGGAATATACTGAGTCATGAGAGAGAAGGAAGAGGCACATGCATAGGGTTAGAATTAGAGCTAGGGCTAGGGTATCCACACAGAGAGACACCCTTCAGGGTGTCTCTCATCAGACTGCCCTCATTGCACCTGCCTCAGAGTTCTATCACTCTGAGAAGAGCTGAAGTATTACAGAAATGCAAAGCATAAGTTCCCATTCTCAAGACTTCAAACAGAATCTATAGAAGAGGAACACTTTATGCTCCGCCCATTGCAGATGGTCCCCTTCTCTACTGAAATGCCCAAGGGTCAGGGAACAGTCCCACATTCTCTCAGTGGCCCCTAATCCACCAATATAGTGGGACAAGAATGTTCCTGCCTCAGGACATTTTCACTTGCTGTTTCCTAGTCTGTACAGCTGTACAGCTCTTCCCCAGTCTCTGCAGAGTTTGCAGCCTCAGTTTTTATTATTTATATATTTATTGGAGACAGAGTCTGGCTCTGTCACCTAGGCTGGAGTACTGTAGCACAATCTCAGCTCCCTGCAAACTCCACCTCCCAAGTTCAAGTGATTCTCATGCCTCAGCCTCCTGAGTAGCTGGGATTACAGGCACCCACCACATCATTTTTGTATTTTCAGTAGAGGCTGGGTTTCACCATGTTGGCCAGGCTGGTCTTGACCTCCTGACCTCAAATGATCTGCCCACGTCAGCCTCCTAAATGGCTGGGATTACAGGTATGAGCCACCATGCCTTGCCTCATCTTTCTTCTGGCCTCTTCTCAGGCAAAGCTACCATGGAGGCCT